AATCAGCCAGACGGTGGGACTTCTGGCATGGCCTACTCTTAGCTGGGCATCCGGAGAACCAGAAACGTCGGACTCCTTCTCAGCTTGTGAGACCCTGCTGGAGGATAAACCTTCGCTGTACTTCGCAATTCGACACCCAGAGTCACCTCCGCGCCAATGAGGCGGTAGACCATCACGGGGATAAAAACATTAGCTCATTTAATTTGTATTCAAACCTTCGAAGCCATTCAACAAAACGCTTTGAAATCTTTGTTGAAAGTAGATAAAAAGGTTTTACAATCAAAACTTATTGGATTATTGGAAATGACAAATACAGCCTACTCCGTTACTGGACTACTCACTGAGAAAATTTAGATGTAATTTAGCTTGTCTTAAACGGCAAACTCAGGAAGCAGCAAAGCGAAAATGTTAAAAACACGTGAAATAACCGATTATAGCTTAAATTTTTCTGCTGAGATTCATCAGGTCCATTAATCATCGGATTAATTCAAGAAGAAGATGCATGCGAGATCTGACAGTAATCTCTGCTCGAAGGGAAAACTAACAAACATGTTGTTATATCTTTTCAATTCGAACTAATTCTGCTTCACTTTTTTACGAAGAACACTTCTCCTTATAGCTCTGCACAGCATGATAATTACTACCATGAATAAACATACGCACACCAAAAATACAGCTATCACATCGAGATTAAAATACACTATGGAATTCAGTCGTGAGCCTTGCACGTGAAGTACGTCCAGGACTCCGTTTGCGACAGCGAAATTCGTCCACTGAACAAGGCGTTGTTCGGCGGAAAACGGTTTTTCTTGCATTAGTTTTGACATCCGAAGAGCATTTTGTTTGTAGCTAAAATGTAATTTACTTAACGCTTTCGAGACTAAGCTACTTAAATTCCAATTTCCAAGTTTTGAAGTTATGCAAAATTAAGATTTCCCGAAAACCTGTGGTAGAGCCACCTATCCTCGTTAGTTTTGACACCCTTGAAATTAAAAGAGTTTGCATATGAAAAAGCCTTACCTATCATTATTCAATATCTCCTGGATAGTTGATCTAATCCTATCTTCGGAAAGTTCCAATTTAAGAAGCACCTGGAAATGTGTGCTTAAAAGCTTATTTTGCTTTTTTTTTCAGATTTGGTTCAAAGTCTAACTTTATGCCAGTGACCAACAAAAAGAAAGGTGAATAGCTTTTCAAACAAATTGGCTAACAATAACTCCAACAATTCCAATAGCATTCTGCTTAAGAAAGTGTACCTTCCCCACTCCCCTCTTCTCTACGTTTCTTCCATTGCGAAACTGATCAGCAAACAATGGGATAACCACCACCGGCACTCCCCTGAATAGGGCTTCTTCCAGGCCGTTTATACCGCCATGCATCACAAAAAGCTTTAGTCTGGGGTGTGCTGAATGGATTTATTTTCTAATTGCGAAAGAGCTAAGCCAACTAGACTACGGAAGCTCACCTAATATGTCGCTTTGAGGTAACCATTCGCTAAAATCACAATTCGTGACACCTTTAAAGAATGACGATGTGGTGTTGTCATCTATAAAAACCATTACCAAGGACTAGTATGGACAGAAATTACAACCTAGAAATCACAAATCAAAAGATTATTTGCACATGCGGGTGGTGAGCGT